GTCTGATCCAGGTGGCCTTGTTTAGAGGGGAGATGCCTCGAGTTATGTGTTTTGTCCTCTTTCCTCTGTTTTCATTTGCTCCACTGCACTGGCTGGCTTAGGTACCTATTTTCAATTTTCACATTTTTTAAATAAATAATGAACTTCTTCGACCTAAAATAGCCGGTGACCTAGTTGCTAGGTCTGAGGTCCCTGGTCATGATTGCTCCCCGACCTTGTTTGACCTTTGGCCTTGTTTGACCTAGACTACGACCTTGTTTGACCTCGGACGTTTTTTTTTTTGTCCCGGATTTGTTTGACCCCGAACAGGCGTTCGGCGCCGGAAGCGGCGACCGATAGGCCTACGTCGATGACGAGAGCACGCTTCCTGCGCGCGCGGCGCCTTCTGAACTGTGTTTGAAGTGGGCCGACCAAAGAGGCCGACCGACCTGTGTCAACGCCGTCCGTTGACGGGCCGCCGGGCCGGACGGAGGCTCTTGGCGGCCCCAGAGGGCACCTGAGCGGACAGACTCGTCGGCCCCCACAGGACACCTGAGCGACCAGACCATGGGCTCTCAATCGGACCGCACCACGAGGCACGAGACGTTCGGCACTCGATTGCAACGCACAGAAGCCTCCTTCGGACTGCCGAGACACCGGACACGGCGTCCTGGAGTCCTCTCATGAATATCAGACTGCTGCTAATTAAATGCACTATTGGAAACGATTTTGGAAACGATTTACGATTTTTCCTGTTTGATATGCATTGCATAACATGCTCGCATGCTTGAGTACACATGGCTTGGAACGGTTCCGGCAAGCACCTCTTTCAGCTCTACGGACCACTGTGGCCTGTGTGTCGGTGCTGCCACCTACGTATTCCTTTCGGCCATCTAGCGAGAATGGCACAAGTCACCCGCAATGACTTCACCACCGGCGTGCGGCAACCGCATTGAGGTTATCTCTGAATTTCTCTGCCAGCTCCTACGCCTGCCTAAGTCAACAGAAGATGAATAATATGCACTGACCCTGATTAAATCAACCTTCGCCCGTATTAGTGTTTTTGCCAGCCGCGAACGTATAAGGAGGGGAGGAGGGCCAGGGGCCAGGAGGGGGGGGGGGGGGGGTGGACCGTTGGACCCCCCTCCCCCTTGCTGTTTCGCCTGCTGTTTTCACTCCGAAGTCCGACGTCATTAGCGGCCAACCTATCATAGCCTTTGGAAAATGTTTGGTCACAATGTGTAATAGCTACTCCCGGGAGGGTGCTGAAGGTCTGGTGACAATCGGCGCAGCGGTTCTGGTAATATCAAAAAACTAAAGCGGGGGGGGGGCAAAAAATGCCCCCCCCCCCGCCTGAAAGGTTAGTTGACCCTAAAGCTTTATTCTCCAATCTCCATACATATTGTAAAAGGTAGATCTGTCGTAGATAAGCTTACGAATGAACGTAGTCTGACGAGAATAACAGAAGAATACCTGGAGAAAGTATAGCTTTATTATAATAACAATGATACTAAAAACTATCTGTAAGTATCTATTAGAATCTTGCTAAAACAACATCTAGTGTGTATTAAATAGGTTGAAAGGGGTAGGTGTTTGAGTTCCTATCTAGTCTTTTTATAACCTTTTGCGTAAAAATAGTTGCTCTAAACCGATATTTAATACAAACATAGGCGTAGGAACAGGGGGGGCCAGGTGGGCAAGTGCCCACCCACTTTTCGAGGTGGGGGGGGGCCAACCATGTGTTTTGGCCCACCCACTTTTTACTCGAGGCCCCTCGTCTCGATTTGAGAGGACGTCGTCACCTTCCAGAATAAACAAACTCGGTAAAAATAAGTTCCACGAATCCTTACGCACGGACTCCAAGGGGCCGTGATGGATCCAAGGAGGCCCTCTGTTCATACTTGTCAGTCGAAGCCCCTGAAACAGATGGCCTGAGAGGCCCTAGTGGATCTGAGGAGGCCGGCAATATCCACACTGGTCTGGGGAGGCCCCTGACACTGGCGGTCTGGGAGGCCCCTCTATCCACACTAGTCAGAGGTCTGAGACTGGTGGTCTGGGAGGCCCCTCCATCCACACTAGTCAGAATAGGCCCCTGACACTGGCGGTCTAGCCGAGGCCCCCTACCCTCACTAGTCAGAGGAGGCCCCTCTACCCTCAATAGTCATAAGAGGCCCCTGAGACTGGTGGTCTGGGAGACCTATCCATCTACACTGTAGTCAGAGGAGGCCCCTGAGACTGATGGCCTGGGAAGCCCTTATATTCACACTACGCAGAGGAGGCCCCTGAGACTGATGGTATGAGAGGCCCTCATATTCACACCAGTTAGAAGAGGCCCCCGAGGCTGATGGCTGTGAGGCCCTTCTGCTCATATAACTGGCCACTGGAGGCCCCTGAAACCGGTGGTCTGGGAGGGCCCTCTTTCCACACTAGTCAGAAGAGGCCCTGAGACCGATGGTCTGAGAGGCTCTTATATTCATACTGGCCACAGGAGGCCCCTGAGACTGATAGTCAGAGAGGTCCACTCCTAGTGAATCTGAGGGGCCCTCTATCCACATTTACACTTTTCTAGGGAGGCCCCCGAGACTGATGGTCTGTGAGGCCCTTTTATTTATACTGTCCACAGGAGCCCCCTGAGATTAATGGTCTGAGAGGCTCTTCTATTTATACTAACCAGAGGAGGCCCCTAGGATTGATGGTCTAACAGGCCCTTCTATTTATACTAGCCAGAGGAGGCCCACGAGACTGATGGTCTGAGAGTCCCCTCTATTCAAACTAGGCAGATGAGGCCCCTGAGAACGATAGTCCGAAGAGCCATGCGGCGGCAACTGGCCGTGGCCATGTTCGGCTCGGTGGGGCCCCACAGAGCTCATGAGAGCACCTCAAGGGCTCCTAAGAAGACACGCTTATCCCCATAAGGGTGACACGCCGGCTTCTGAAGGCTCCTTGTAGGCATCTAAGAGCCCTTTCCGGCCTCTAACGGCTCCACCCGCCTGTGATGGCTCCACACCAGTGTTAATGAGCGCCACTCAGCGGCGGCTTTGAGGGCCATACTAGTGTCTCTTAGGGCCCTATATCGGTGGCTCTGGGGGCCCCACATCGGCGCCTCTGAGGGCCACCACACCTGTGCATCTCAAGGCTCTATAGGTACATCTGAAGGACCCACTTCGACACCTCTGAGGGCCCCACACCAGTATCTCGGAGCTCTGAAGGTCCCACACCGGTGACTCTGAGGACTCACCGGCTCCTGAGAGCACCATGTTGATGTCTAACGGCTCCACAAGGCCACTGAAGGCACCACACAAGCTCTCGCTGAGCTCTAATGTCCATGTACCGGCCTCTGAGGGATTTAAGCCAGCGCATTCATAGCTCCACACCAGCAATGGTAAGGGCTTCACACTGAAGTATCTGAGGGTTCCACACCGGTGTCTCTAAGGGCCGGCATACCGGCATCTCTGAGGGCCCCATACCGGCGTCTCCGAGGGTTCACATCTGGCGGGCACCCATCAGCGACTGAAGGTCCCACACTGTCGACTCCGAGAGCCCCATCTGCGTCTAGGAGCACCATGCCGTCTCAAGAACCACAGCGGCTCCTCCTTACGAAAGATGGGCGTCTGCATGCCAAAGGAGAGCGGTTCTGAGACAGTAGGACACCTATGTACATGCAATAGAGGGGCGCCTATGAAGCCCATAGGGGCGCCTCAATGCGAACGAGGGGCGCCTCTGAGGCCTACATATATGGGCGTCCACATGCAATAGAGGTCTGCAATGCAATTGATCAATGCCATTGCCATGGGGGTGCATTCATAAGAAACAGGGGCGCCGGCATGGCAAAGAGAGGCGCCTTCAAGTGTCCATAAAAGAGAGACGCCTATGATAAGCGCACATTGTAATGCGACAACGGGGCGACTGTGGGACACATCGGGATGTCTCTGATGACTATACATAGGGCGCTTATATGCCAAAGAGGGCGCCTATGAAGCTAATGGGGGCACCTGGGAAACGAGGAAGACATTTGTGTAAGGGTTTTCAGTGGTCATGCGCCGTTTGCGGCAAATAGATTCTAAAAATATCGGAGGGGGATAAGTTTTAAAAATGGTGCGGACTTTCCGCACAGTTCGCTTAAAGGAAATAGTTCACTTTCACGAAATTATTTTTTTGCAACGATTTATGATTTTTTTATGTTCAAAATAATCAGCAAAGAAAATAAAACCTTTTTATAACAAAAGATTTTTTTTTCTATATTTTGATATAGGAAGAACTTTTCAGTTTCTGTAAGGCACACGCGATCCAGTATGAAAAGAGCATGGGTCCCGAAAATTCTTCAGAAACAGAGAAATTATCGCAGCCACCGGCATTTGGGCGATCTGCTCGATCTGATAATGTTCCCCTGAATGTCCTAATTGATCAGTACGAGAATTTCTCTAGAGTTCTCGTAGATAATTTCTCTAGTTTCTGAAGAATTTTCGGGACCCATGCTCTTTTCATACTGGATGGAAATATATGCAAGGCACACATCCTCAACGCAAGACACCTTTTTCGGGACGAGAAATAGAATATCTTTGCCTAGGGTGATCGTTGGGCTGTAAAAGCTCCTGATTTATGCTCGTCTCAGCCTAAGCTACGGAACTGCTATTCCAGTTCAAAACCCATGTTAAAAAGTGAACTATTTCCTTTAAGCGGTTAAGCCCCTGGGTACATCTGCCCGATCTCAGAAGCTAGATTTGGAGGTCATACTTGAAAGCAGCCAGCAGGACGAGGCAAAAGTTGGAGGCCCCTGAAAATAGGAGGCCCCCTGGAAAAGGAGGCCCCTTGACAGGGTGGCCCACCCACTTTTCATGACGTTCCTACGCCCGTGAATACAAAATATTGACGGAAGTACAGAATTCACAACATGTTTTGATGTTTGGGTTCTGTAAGTTTTTTTGCAGTGGATTAATTAACCGAGCAATGAAATATTTGAGACCTTGATTGCGGCATAAAGAAACGATTTCTGCGCCATTCCTGTCGTGATTGCTTACCGGGGTGTCTCCGAAAGGGTATGTGGACGATGTGGACTATATTTTTTTAATATTTTAGCATAATCATTGAATTTGTGGCCTTGATTCAATTAAAGTACCTAAGTATTGTAGGCACACAACCTATATGTGGTGATAATTTGGTGAGAACTTGGCCTGGGGGATTTATGTAGCCCTGGCCCTTGAGTGAAACGTAAAAGGTCAAGGTGAGACTGTTTTTTTTACTTTTCAGATTTGATTTATCTTGCTTTGAGCCTGAGCAATAAAATGTACTTATTGCAGGCCAGCCAGATTGCTGGGTGAAGTTAAGTTGTTTAAAAAATGACGTCTTTGTTTTGTCCATGGAAATGCAAATTTCAATTCAACGGCTACGGGAGCATGTGTGCAGTCATTGATTGGAACTCACTGCCAGCCGAAGTAGTTCTTGCTCCAACCCTGAATGGGTTCAAGAACCTGCTTGACAAACACTGTTTGAGACTTGAGACATGTGTACGATTTCCATGGGATATTTTTATAACACGGTAACATATACTTTAAAAAAAATATTGCGGACCTAAAGTAAATATTTACCCTTTAAACATGGCTGGCATTTTTTATTTTGCCACATTAGCATTGGTGTGTGCACATGGGTAGTTATTATAATATCAATATGAAGAGGTGTCACCACACCTTCATGTAAACTTTGGAATGCTCTGCAAATTAGAATGTGAAATGTACAAACACATCCTGGACTTTATCATTTTGATTTGCATGTGTGTATGTATATCAGCATCTGTGTTTTCCACCTGAGTTGTTTTTGGTTTTGGCTGCTTGTGGTGTGGGCTGTGGCTATATCACTATGTGCACTGACCATTGTTTCAGAAACCACTTCATTGGTAGCATTGTTTTGTAAACCAAGCTTCACCTACCACAGATGTGGGATCCCAAAATGCTACCAAGGGTAACTACTTGCATTTTCTTTCATTTTCTGTCTTCATTTTTCTACTCTGTCTTTTGAATGTCTATGAAACACTTTTTTCTCATACCAATCTTGTTTCAAATGTGTCGTGCCCCTTTTTCACATGCACTCTTCTTTTTATATATTTACATTTTCTCTCTTCTGTGTTCTCTTCTCTGTTCTTCTCTTCCGGCCTGCTCTTCTTTCTTTCCTCTCCCTTACTGGCTTACTCACTTGCTGTCTTATGCTCTTAGATACTTTGTCCCCAGCATGTGCATGTTTGTATTAGAGCTCTTCTCTGACATGTGTTCTATAGCTTATATGTTACCTACCTAGTACCTACCGATGCTACACTTATGAGTCAGCTATCCCCATATATTTATATCTTCTTAGCAAAGTTAAGTAGGTATGTACACCAAAAGAAAATTTATGAGTAACATGTTACCAGTCTGGGGGTAAAGGGAAGTGATATATTTCATTGTGAATGAACAAGCGTTTGGAATATACCACCTTTTTTGGAGTGTACTACTTGCCCTCCACCTGTTCCACGTACTTCAACAAAATGTATTTTGCAGGTTGCATGCATACTTTTAAACATATCTGTACATAGATACTTATTTTGAAAGGTCATCTGTACAGTGCTTTACCATTTAGCATATGGGTAATCCACATAATCACATCACACTGCCCTATCACAGGGCTAGTCAGTGATAAGCTTGGCCAGAAATTGACTATTTGGGTATCAAAGTAGCCATTGTTCAAGAGAGGAATGACCAAGCCGGAAGCCCTGATATTGAGAGGATCATAGTGCTGAGTGCTGACTGCTGAATGAGTGTGTCCAAGAAAAGATCAATGCTAGCAGCTATACCCTAGTGTGCAGTGTCCATTGTACGTACATATCAGACTAGTGGGTTGCTATCAGTACAGGGAGAATTGAGAAATGTTTTAACAATGACACTCTAACACTCTTTAACCCGCGCCGGGCCGGTGCTCTGAGCTTCCGGGCCGGGGGTGTCTGAACACCCCCCATTCTAACTCGGCTCCTGGGTCACGTAGCGACACGCGGTAAGCGGCAATCGAAAGAACGTCCAAAATAAGGACGAAAACACTTCTGTCGTTTTTTGAGTCAGGTCAAAGGTCAGGTCACCAGAGTTCACCAAAGGTAAAATGTTGACTATTTCAACATTTTGGAAACTGCCAACGGCTATCTCGGGAACCGACAGAGCTACAGCGCCGCGGAAAAGCGCATTCGATAGCCCTTTTACAGACCTTTCTGGTAATGTTCTCAGATTTGACCTCAGGTCAACGGTTTAGCCTCCAGAGGGCAAAAACTCCAAAAATAGCCGTTTTTACGAAAAACGCCTTTTCGGCAATAACTTTTGACTAAAAAAAGCCATGACATTACTTTTGCCAGCATCATGTTCCTCTCGTCGAGACGCGTCGAATGAACTATAATTTGACCTTGAAAGGTCAAATTGAAAATTTGACCTCAGGTCAAGGTCATGACCTGACCGGAAAAGGTCATGTTGCATATCAGTCGATCTGCAACGTCGAGCCGAACACATTTAAGGCGTTTTCAGCGCTCTAGCACGCCTCTATCAGAAGTTATTAGCGAAAAACTGTTAGATTCTGTTCGTGACCTGAGATGACCTCGGGGACATCGAAAAACTGTTAGATTCTGTTCGTGACCAGAGATGACCTCGGGGACATAACCAGGGATCACAGTTGCCATTTTCCGGCTCAGTGTGTCAATTTTACCTACATCTCGATATTTGAGAGTGTCTAGAATAGCGTTGGTGCAAAACAGGCGCTTTTCAATTTTCTCCCATTGACTTATAATGGAGAGGCCGCAAAATTGACCTGACCTTAGGTCACCGGTATCAAAATTCCGAGATAACCATTTTATAGATAATGCTGCTCTAATCAATCGCTGAAAGTTTCAAGGCAATCGATCAATCGGTGTATCTATGACGAGCATTCTTATTTTTTCTGAGGTGAGGTCACTTCACTTGGCGTGACCTGGTGACCTGACCTAAGGCGACCTGGGTCTGAAATTTTCACAACACGTGCGGAAAAGATGCCCGAACAGGTGTGCCAAAAACGGCGGCGCTCTGCGCCGCCGTTTTTGAGATATCTGCGAAAAACTGCAGGGGGGGGGGTGTTCAAACACCCCCGGCCCGGCGCGGGTTAACACAATGACACAATAATACTCATTTTGGTCAAGGGGATAATCACATGTCTCTGTGTCGTGACACTCATGATAGTGACATTGGTACTAAAAAAAAAACAAAAAAAACAGGTAGGTACTAGGTAGGTAATCGTTTAGCGATGGCCAGCTTATTTATGCAAAGCTAGGGTACCTGGGAATGGCGAGCGACGCTTGAACAGATAGAGTGGTGAGAACTATGCCGCCATATTCTACTGCGGCTCTTTGAACTTTTGGTGTTAATTGTTACCGATGAACCGGGCAAAGGTGAGGTGACCTGGATGGATGGTGAGTGCTATGTGATAAGCTCTAGGTAGCGAGTGCCTGAGCCTGTAACCTCCCATTTAACCATCGGCAATTAATTGTTGTAAATAGTCAAGCTGAATGGACATAAACTTATTGCGTTTTTCTCGAACTTCCTGGCAGTCTAAGGCATGTGATCATACCATGCCGCTTTCTCTTATGTGGTATTGAGGAATCTGAACTTGCCGTCGTCCCAGCGCCCGCTGTGATGGCCGCCCTCACAGCTCGTGTCGTGTGCGCGCCAGATCGCTCCGATGGCGACCTCGGTGGGCGCGGCCGGGTTCGGCGCGGACGTGCGCTCCGGCATGGCGGCCGGCGGCGGCGGCGGCGGCGGCGACATCGAGTACGGCAACGAGGCCACCCCGGCCGGATTCTTCAGCGCCGACTTCAAACGGTTCGTCCGGCAATCGTAGCTCTCATACTCCTGTCTCCGTAGACCACCGTTATATGTGCGTCTGTGTCTCGGACTTGTGTCGACCTACCTGGCTGTGGAGCACCGATGTGTCTGTTCTGTCTCGCACTCGCTGTCTCTCTCAGTCTCACTCAGAAGTCAGAAGACCATCGGTTGATGCGTGTCTTTGTCTCGAACTTTCGGTCTCCGCAACTGACCCAATCGTGGTTTATAGCCTGTCCTGTCGACGTCATTTGACTGTCCTCTGTGTTGCAACCTGACCACCGCCCTGCCGGCAGACATGACGACCTGAAACAGATGCTGGACTCCAGCAAGGACAACCTCAAGCTGGAGGCCATGAAGCGCATCATCGGGGTAAGTGTGACGTCAATTGACTCCAGTGACGTCATCACTGACTATCTGATTGTCCGTCAGAAACATCGTCATTTTGCACCATTTTGTATTGTTTTATTCATTCTTTTTTTATAAATTTAGTCCGAACCTTTTGATTGGAAGGATTCACAAGGACAGAGCTAAGCGAAACTTGTTGCTTTGACCCTGCCCTCTACCCTCTGATCACGCAATTCCAGTTCTATGGCAGAATTTAGAGTCCAAATTTTAACGTGCGCACATAGCCTCGCACGGCCAGTCCCCTCACTGACTTCGCTTGGCTACGACCTGCTACCAACCGCAACCACACCTGTCAGGAGGCCCATAAACGTCAAGCGCCCGTCGCGCTTCGAACCCGGACTGTTGTAACCGGGAACGCGTGCTCTCACCACGCTGAGTCCAACGCTCCACCGACTGAGCTACGGGACCGGCCTGTTCTATTCATTTGTGTTGTATTGCTCATGTTTTGTGTTTATGTATTTGACCATTAACCTCAGCAAGGATTTCTGTATATGTGCGAACTAATTAACCCACCCGTTTCAGGGATGCCTGATGAAAAATATCCCAGTGTCTGCCCCACTCACTCTTTCTAACCCTGCTCTACTTCTATTACCCTACCAGATGGTGGCCAAGGGTCGGGACGCGTCCGACCTGTTCCCGGCCGTCGTCAAGAACGTTGTCTCGAAGAACATTGAGGTGAAGAAGCTGGTGTACACGTACCTGGTGCGCTACGCAGAAGAGAAACAGGACCTGGCGCTCCTCTCCATCTCCACATTCCAGCGCGCCCTCAAGGTACGGTGAATGGGGGGGGGGGGGGAGGGGCGTGATGCAGAGGGAGGTACCGCGGTCAGCGTAGGGGAGATATCTAGCACACCATGTAAGGAAAGGAGAGGCATTGCCCTTTTGAGGTGGTTCATTGGCGTTGTGGGATAGGTGTGGGAGAGGGAGGAGAAGGGGCCGTCGAGCCCTGCCGAGACGGCACCGCAGACCCAGCTCACAGCTGCCGTTCACCCAGCAGTCCCCCTCCGCCGACTGGCTGACACCCCTCCCGTCTCCGCCGCCACAGGACCCGAACCAGCTGATCCGGGCCAACGCGCTGCGGGTGCTTTCCTCGATCCGAGTGCCCGTCATCGTGCCCATCATGATGCTGGCCATTAACGACTCGGTGGTCGACATGTCGCCCTACGTGCGCAAAACGGCCGCCCACGCCATTCCCAAGCTCTACAGGTGAGATACAGCCCGTGTAGTGTGTAGTGTCCCGACTGACCTCTGGGCGCCCGGCGTGTCGTGTCAGTCTGTGTGCCATGTTCTGTGTGCTCGCTGACCTCTGCGGCGTCCGTCTGCCGCAGCCTGGACCCGGACCAGAAGGAGGAGCTGGTGACGGTCATTGAGAAGCTGCTGGCTGATCGCACCACGTTGGTGGTCGGATCCGCGGTCATGGCCTTTGAGGAGGTCAGTAATGCTGCCGGGGATGATCCCCGCTGTCTGCTCAGTGTCGAGGTTTTGGGGGATTCGTGGCATACAGTCTGCAAGGTCTTTAGTTTACGTTGAATATGAGTTGCCTGTTGGACTGGGCATTGAACACTCAGTCTGCCTGTAACTACAAATGTTCAGTGTCCTTAAAGTCGATCATTCTGCCTGTCTGAATTCAGGTGTGTCCAGAGCGGATTGATCTGGTGCACAAGAACTTCCGCAAGCTGTGCAACGTCCTGGTGGACATCGAGGAGTGGGGCCAGGTGATCATCATCAACATGCTCACCCACTACGCCAGGACCCAGTTCATCGACCCCAACCTGCAGGTGAGCCCCGCCGCCCGCCCGGGGGAGGGGGATTGGCACGGTTCGTTAGGAGTGACCCTGTCATTGGTTATCAGGCTGAGGCTTATTTGTGTTTCCCTTTTGATTGTAGTTCATGTAATGTCCGTGTGGCGAGTGGCGACCGAAGTCTCCTGTCGTTGACAGCGTTACCATTCTGTCAGTGTGCTATCACATTCTCCATGGGTGTCTTAGAGTACTGTCGCCGTCCTCGTCAGTGACAGTATTATTCCCTCCCTCAGGACGGCCCCGGTGACCAGCCGGAGCGGCCGTTCTACGACGACTCGGAGTCGGAGTCGGAGTCGGAGGGCAGCGACGCTGAGGGGCAGAAGCGGAAGCCGTACGTGATGGACCAGGATCACGCGCTTCTGCTGAGGAGCACCAAACCGCTCCTGCAGAGCCGGAACGCCGCGGTGAGTGCATGACGAAGTGGGGAGAGATGGGTACTTGGTGGGGAGAGAGAAAACGGGACTGTTTGACGGATCGCTTACATTTCGGTTGGGTAGTATTGAAGAAGGAAGTTTCATTCCTTTCTGGTAGTGATCTGTCGGTTTGGGACCTTTCCAGTGTGGCAGCCGGTTACCTGTGAGCTCTGTGACCTGTGGGCGGTGAATTGTCTGGTGACCTGTGACCTGTGACCCTCAGGTGGTGATGGGCGTTGCTCAGCTGTACCATCACCTGGCCCCCCGCTCGGAGGTCAGCCTCGTGACGAAGGCGATGATCCGCCTGCTGCGCTCCCACCGTGAGGTGCAGAGCGTCGTCCTCACCTGCATCGCTTCCATGACCACGCAGCGAAAGGTGAGTGCTCCGCCCGGCAGACGGGGTGGCCACTGGTCCGTCTGTGGGGTGGCCGCCGTCCCGGCATGGGTCCGCCTGCGGGCTGCGGCCGCTGTCCCTGTGTGCCGTGAGACCGCTTGGTCTGAGAGATCTGACAATCAACGCCTGTGCGCTCTGCTATTTAGCACATGGTCGCCCGGTGTGCTGTGCAAGTGTGCAACACTGCTCGTCCAATATGCCGCCGGTGTGCTGCTTGACTGACGTGCTCTTTGCTCCCGTCCCGGGTGTTCCTTCCTTGCCGTTCCGTGGTGTGCGCCTCCCTCGCCTTGCGGTGCTGTGTGCCTCCCATGCCATGCCGTGGTGTGTGTGTGTGTGTGTGTGTGCCTCCCATGCCATGCCGTGGTGTGTGCCTCCCAGCCGGATCTGGGATACCGCAAACGCCATGCCTCGTGTGCTGTTCTGATGTTCCGTTTCTCTATCCCTGCTGCCGTTGCTGTGACCCCCCAGGTCAGGGTAAGTATTTGAGAGCTAAAAAAAAAACATCGCAGAGCGACAGGCGGAGATCGCACGCTGACAGTCTGGACCATCAGTAGCCAGATACCGTTTGTAGCTCCCGGCTGACAGCCTCCAGCGTTAGGTGTCGGACCAGCGCTGACCACGCGGGTGGCGGCGGCGTGACTCGGTCCGCTACTGCCCCTCAATTATCACTGGGCTCTCAGATGTCGGCGTACTTTTGCACACCGCACTTATGAAGGACTTAAACTAATGGGTATTACGCGATCTGTTAGCTCGACATAAATAAATGCAGCTTCATGACTAACCAGTGTCTCTGGAGCTGATGGCATGCTTTGGGCATCGCTTACATGTAGATGATGACTTTTTATCCCCAGTCGGCTACCAACTATCTGGAAAATTTTAGGAGTGCTAGAAGTTGCTTGTATAGTTGCCAGGAAGCGCTTAGTGAGTGAATTAACTGATCTGGGCCCGTGTTTCGCAGGGTATGTTCGACCCGTACCTGAAGAGCTTCTTCGTCCGATCGTGCGACTCGAGCCATATCAAGATCCTGAAGCTGGAGATTCTGACCAACCTGGCCACCGAGTCCAGCATCTCGATCGTGCTCAGGTCAGAAGCCCGCTGGTGACCACGTTGCAAGCAGCAAGTCCTCTTTTATGTCTAGCACACTTCTTTTTTAACAAGACTTGGGTGTATTAAATTTTCCAACAAATAGAAGTTATTACAGCTTTTTTCTTTCTTTTTTTAATTAAATATTTCCCCTCTCACTGCCCATCCCCGCTCACCAGTCAATTTCACTGACTTCACAGGGAGTTCCAGACGTACATCGCCAGCCACGACAAGACGTTTGTGGCGGCCACCATCCAGGCCATCGGCCGGTGCGCCTCCAACATTGCCGACGTGACCGACACCTGTCTGCAGGGCCTGGTGGCGCTCCTCTCCAACAGGGACGGTACGTGGCGCTCTTCTCAGACTAGACGGTACGCAACACACCAGTCTGCAGGGCCTGGTGGCGCTCCTCTCCAACAGAGACGGTACGTGGCGCTCCTCTCCAACAGATACGGAACGTGACGCTCCAGAGACGGTACGTGAGACCTGCCTGCAGGGGTTGGTGGCGCTCCTCTCCGACAGAGACGATATGTGTCAACAGAGATGATCAGAGAAGTATGCGCCTCTGACGTTTTTTCTCGTCTATGAAGAGTTCGCCGTAACACTGTGCCTAGCCTATGTCTATGTGTCTGACGTTTTTTTTTTTGTCGTCTGCGCAGAGTCTGTGGTGGCCGAGAGCGTGGTAGTGATCAAGAAGCTCCTTCAGACCCAGCCTGGCGAACACAAGGAGATTATCCGCCACATGGCCAGGTAAGAGACTATGATCCCTATCCCTTTCGCTCGCACGTTAAGTTGGGATGGCTACTTCTCTGCATCGCCAATAGCACACCCTATTGGGGGTGACTGGGCGAAACGGAAGCTGTCATTCGTGGATGTTAATGCTGAGCGCTCAAGCTTAGGATTGGATGTGTGCTGACTTTTTGCTGACGCCGTCCTGCCCTCCGCCAGGCTGGTGGACCACATCAAGATCCCGATGGCGCGCGCCAGCATCCTGTGGCTGATCGGCGAGTACTGCGACCGCATCCCCCGGATCGCGCCCGACGTCCTCCGCAAAATGGCCAAAACATTCATCAACGAGGTGGGTGGACACTATGCCGGTTCCCGCGACTCATTTTGTCTTCAGCTAATGATATTGTGCTTATTATCTCACTGTGACCTTTTTTGAATAATGGACGTCCCTTAGTTGACCTCCGGTGCGCAGTGTGCATCTTGCCAACCCAGAGCAATGCTTCTATGATGTGGATCTCGTGGTGCCGGCTCTTCGCTCACGTCATTCCTTTCTCTCCAGGAGGACATTGTGAAGCTGCAGATCGTGAATCTGGCCTCGAAGCTGTGTTTGACCAACCCCGAGCAGACGGAGCTACTGGCTCAGTACGTCTACAGCCTGGCGCGCTACGACCCCAGCTACGACCTGCGCGACCGCGTCCGCCTCATGCGCCACCTGGTGTTCCCGGCCGACGGGCCCAACTCGCGGCTGGGAAAGTACGCCAGACGCATCTTCATGGCCACCAAACCGGCGCCCCGCCTGGAGAGCAGCTTCAAAGGTGAACGCGGGATGAGCGGCTGGGGCTCTGCAATGGCTGAACGGAAGTGCAATAGAACCCAACAGCTAATATAATTTTATTGTTCTCCCTTTGTGTGTTTTCGGCGTTTGTCCGCGGTATGTGTCAACGACTTACCCCAAACTTTCTATCCATCCACAGACCGTGACCAGTTCCAGCTTGGCTCGCTGTCCCACTACATCAACGCCCGCGCCACCGGCTACCGCGAGCTGGCCAGCTTCCCCGCAGAGGCGCCCGACCCGACGGTGCGCAACAGCGTGGTGCCTCTGCCGGAGCGGCCGCCCGAGCCGGCGCTTCAGCCGACCCGGCAGCGCGGCTTCTACTCGGACTCCTCGTCAGAGGACGGTGGGTGATAGGGGAGGGTTCTCCGGGGACGGTGGGTGATAGGGGAGGGTTCTCCGGGGACGGTGGGTGATAGGGGAGGGTTCTCCGGGGACGGTGGGTTTCGGAGGGACTCTTTAGAGGACGGTGGGTGAGGGAAGGTCCTCAGAGAGGATGGTGGGGAGGGGAGACTTCTTAGGCCGGCTGTGAGTGAGTCGGCGTGACCCGACTCAGCACAGATGTACGTATGTCTATTGTAGGTAGGTGGTGCTGGTGAAGGAGTCATAATTTTCGCTAATTACTGACCCTGTGCCGTCTCCCACGTCCACAGAGTCTGAGGACTCTGACAGCGACAGCAGCTCGTCCGGCAGCGGAGAGAGTAGCGGAGAAAGCAGCTCCGGGGAGAGCAGCAGCTCGGAGGACGCTGCACCGGCACGGAACAAGGTGGGCGGGGCTAGCGATAGACTCAGCAGCTGTCGGGGGAGTTTATTTAGTCCCGTGGAAGTGTTCTCCTATGCCGTGTATCTGTCTTACCGTGCATGCGTAAAGTGTCGGTCTGTCGTTAACCGTTTCGTTCAACAACTGATCCGTCCGTCTGTGCCTTGTGTCGTCTGATCGCCGCTCCGCCTCCTCCAGGCGCGGGCGCGCGCACCGCCGCCGACCCGCGGCGTGTCGGCGCTCCGCCCGCCGCAGGCCTCCTCCAGCGATTCAGACGAGGAGGACTCGGACGAGGAGGGGTCCACCTCCGGGTCCGGGTCCGGGTCCGACTCCGGGTCCGAGTCGGACGGCAGCGCCAGCAGCGCCGCCGCGCCGGCCGCCCCGCCTCCCGCCGCTCCGGCCCCGGCCGGCGGCGGCGGTGGTAACAGCGTGGATCTGCTGCTGGAGCTCGACTCGGGTCTGTAACCGCACCGGGCCGCGCCGGGCCGCCGCGGGGTACCGTAGCTGCGCTCGTCGGGGATGTCGGGCGGGCCGCTGGGGCTGCCTAGCTGAGCTGAACTGATCTGAACTGGGCTAGTTCAGCTCGTCTGTTTAGCCCAACAGCGGCCAGCCCGCTCTGGTCTGTTTGGTTCGTTCTGTTCTGCTCAGTTCTGTTCGGGCAGTATGCTGAGATGGTATGCTAAGCTGAATGCGCTTGTCCGATCAGTGTTTGCTATTTGGAGTTTCGTTTTAACGAACACACACATCTCGAATTGTCCCTTGAGCTTTTTATGTTCCCCCGCACCTTGCTGCCATCAGATTTTTTTCCATCTTTATCAATTATGCTATTTACACGCAAGTTACATATGCAGCGAGGTGAGCTTTTTTATCAACGACACCGAAACATTCGCGTACTTTACAAAGTGCACACAGTATCAGCAAAGGAGCCTGCCGCGCTAGCCCAGCCCTGAAATGTTTGCTTTGGATGCAGTCTCAAAAGCTACTACTTATGTAGAAGATTCTGAAGAAGAGTAAATTAATTGGTTAGTTGAAAGACAAGTGGTGCAGACTGCAGATACTACTATTCACGCTGGAGAAAAGAGATTTGCATTAAACCTTTTTGTTCTATTCGTATCTTTAATTCCATGTGATGTTTTGCTATTTTAAGATGGTATCGTGAAATGATTAATTTGAGATTGAAGTGTTAATTTTGCTAGATTCTTTGAAGCTCTACCCACAAAGGCACTATTGATTAGTTAGAGGCATTGTAGACTATATTTATAGAAGTTTAACTGTATGATGGTAGCTTTTCGTTATTAAACAATGAGTCCTATATATGAGAGCAAGTGACTTTTTCCACATTCTTTTTTCCTGAACTAACTTTCAAGCCTTTTAAAACATTGCGATTTTCGGAGCACCTTGCAGTGCAGAGTACTTGTCGTTCATTAGTTCTCAGCCATTTGTTACCAGTATCGCAAACCCTGTCCAACAATCACGGCTCACTCTGTGACGTTTTAGTCCCGGGTAGCACGCTGCATGGTTCAGTTGCTCGTTGGGCTGCATGTCTATACTTGCTCTGCCCGTCCTGGGCCGCCCAGTTGGGAGTGCCGGGATGGACCGGTACGGTTCTCCGTCCGGTTACGTGCCACTTATTGTAATTAACTTGTTGGGGAGTTTGGTCTGCAGATATTTATAAAATACTATATGGGGCATTCCACGATAGATCGACCAAAAAAAAATTAAATTGACACCCTCATATTTTATTTTTCGCTCAAAATTGGTGTATAGGGTAGAAATGGGCGGGAAAGCCAGCTGTGGCAAGGATAATTTTTTTTTTGACCTACAGTTTTCGAGATATAGCCTCGGGCAATTCCTGGAGGTCACGCAGCAACCCTATGTTTGGCGGCTCATAACTCAGAAACTATTGATTTTTGTATAAGAATAACTTTATGTCTTCCAACTCAAAATTAACCAAGGAAACTTTTGGCTATCTCGGATTTTCGATTTTCGAAAATTTTGGTCACGTGACCTCTTGACCTATTTTTTGAAGAGTGACCTTGACACTTTCCCACCTGAAAGTTAAAATTTGGTCTGATGACGATTCAAGCCTTATCAATGGTCGTTCATATGCGACAATAAAAAACATGGCTATCGGCCTGCATTGACCTCAGGTCAGGTCATCTTTGTGACCTGCCCATTATAAGTCAATGGCAAAAGTACCGGCTAGGCCACTAAAACGCATCGGACTGGTACAGTTACTTCATAATCATACCATATTAGGTTATTATTGATCACTCTGGTGCAATTTTGCATCAGTGACCCGCGGAAAGGTCATCCGAGGTCACATTATGACACGACATTCATATGCCTTTTATGTCTATATCTTTTGATAGAATAGGTATAGGGATTTGGGAAACACATCAATTAGTTCACTTTGGCCAGGCGCATCATGCCATACGCAGCCTTATATGTTAAGGTCATTTCGTGACCTTGACCTAGGGTCAAATTTTGGTCAAATTTCATATTTGACCTTTCGAAATAAAAACTTATACAATTCGATCCGACTGGAAAAAGCAAACACGATGGCGCTATTTTATACATCTGACTTCATAAACATAATAAGATATTGGCGAAAAACGTTTTTATTCCGTGAAAAATGTTTATTTTCAGCCAGATTAAATAACAATATTTTGGCGTGGTAAAGGCATTCGAGGTGCATAGACACGTTGGCGTAAGTACTTGTACCTAAGCAATTCACGCTCATATGACTCGGTGTTGCGGTCATTTCTACAGGTACCAATCTAAAAAAAAAATAGCATAGGTAGATATGTGATGATCAGCAGTTTCGTACATTTGGCATGAATAATAATCACTCACATAAATCACTCACAAGCTCGCTTCGCCAGGGCCAAAACTGTGAAGGGGACGAGACAGTACCACAGATTCTGTCCAGTTGACCTGACCACAGTCCGCGTCCACGAGCTTTCAGAAGATCGGGAGGGCAAGGAAGTCAAAGTGTCTTAGATAAGCACATACAAAGTAGACGAGCTTGGAAAGTTGCACTGTTGGATCGGACCAATGTTGTGTTGTGTTGTTGTGAATATGTTGTCGGTTTGCTGTGTGCCGTGCGTGCCGATTAGGGTGTACATAGGAAAATGTTTTATGTGAGTGATTATTATTCATGCCAAATGTACGAAACTGCTGATCATCACATATCTACCTATGCTATTTTTTTTTTTTTAGATTGGTACCTGTAGAAATGACCGCAACACCGAGTCATATGAGCGTGAATTGCTTAGGTACAAGTACTTACGCCAACGTGTCTATGCACCTCGAATGCCTTTACCACGCCAAAATATTGTTATTTAATCTGGCTGAAAATAAACATTTTTCACGGAATAAAAACGTTTTTCGCCAATATCTTATTATGTTTATGAAGTCAGATGTATAAAATAGCGCCATCGTGTTTGCTTTTTCCAGTCGGATCGAATTGTATAAGTTTTTATTTCGAAAGGTCAAATATGAAATTTGACCAAAATTTGACCCTAGGTCAAGGTCACGAAATGACCTTAACATATAAGGCTGCGTATGGCATGATGCGCCTGGCCAAAGTGAACTAATTGATGTGTTTCCCAAATCCCTATACCTATTCTATCAAAAGATATAGACATAAAAGGCATATGAATGTCGTGAGTCATAATGTGACCTCGGATGACCTTTCCGCGGGTCACTGATGCAAAATTGCACCAGAGTGATCAATAATAACCTAATATGGTATGATTATGAAGTAACTGTACCAGTCCGATGCGTTTTAGTGGCCTAGCCGGTACTTTTGCCATTGACTTATAATGGGCAGGTCACAAAGATGACCTGACCTGAGGTCAATGCAGGCCGATAGCCATGTTTTTTATTGTCGCATATGAACGACCATTGATAAGGCTTGAATCGTCATCAGACCAAATTTTAACTTTCAGGTGGGAAAGTGTCAAGGTCACTCTTCAAAAAATAGGTCAAGAGGTCACGTGACCAAAATTTTCGAAAATCGAAAATCCGAGATAGCCAAAAGTTTCCTTGGTTGATTTTGAGTTGTAAGACATAAAGTTATCCTTATACAAAAGTCAATAGTTTTTTAGTTATGAGCCGCCAAACATAGGGTTGAAGCGTGACCTCCAGAAATTGCCCGAGGCTATATCTCGTTAACCGTTCGTCGAAAAAAAAAATCATCGCCACAGCTGGCTTTCCGGCCCAAAACAACCCTCTAGACGAATTTTGAGCGAAAAATAAAATATGAGGGTGCACAGCTTTGGTCGATCTATCGTGGAATGCCCCATATCTGCATGGTTATGGGGTTGGCGGGCGGGTGGACTAGAGCTGTTTAGCTCGGCAATGCTGGACGGAATGTGTCTGCTCGTGCCTTCGGAGGGAGTATCAAACGTGCCTGTTCGGGGATACATGATTATCGCCTGTTATGTCGATTTGTAAATACAGGTTTGGTCGGTCTTTTGCTTTGTTTTGTTTTGTCTTGTTTTGTTTTCGTGAGCGGGACTTTTCCTTTTTAAATATGTTATGAAGACATATTATTTAAGGTAAGTTTCTTTGCTGTATTATGTGTTTGATGTTTGCATTTTGATGTTTTTACTTATTTTTAATAATGTGTTGGATAATTTTTTATGTCTGTACACCAGAGGTCTATGCCTACCTCCATTTGAGTCACGCTGCCATTTTTCTGGCCACTATAATTATGTGCCTAAACTAAATGAGCATTGAACATAAAATGATTGGATGCCTGAATATGGTGCGGCTGGTTTCACACAGTGTAATATTTCTAACGGCTAAGGCCGTATGGCGCTGTTTGTTAGCTATTGCGTTTCGCTCTGGCCGGCGGCGGTGTGCGGTAGACTGACGCCGGTCCCCCGTCCCCGCAGTACCGGCGCCCCTGGGTACAGAGCTGCTGACGCCTTCTCTGGGCGGCCTCCTGAGTCCCGTGGCGGCGTCAGGAGCCGCCCCCGCCACCGCCAAGGCGGATACTATCGAGGTGAGATGAATAGTCGGTGAGAGGCAGGGAGAGCTTACTACTGAAATTTACGTAGTAATGTGATGCATTGCAAGCATGTATGCAAGACGAATGCTTGTGTTTCTCCAAAGCTGCGTAGTGAGAATGAACCACGAAACACCACAATGTAATCTTGTGCCGTGCCCTTTCCCCTAGTGGTCTTTCTCGCATCCTCCCGCCCGTGCCACGAATTCTCTATTCGTTCTTTATCCCCGTCCCCCGCCATCCGGCCTCTTTGGTCCCTCGGTGGTCTGTCCTTCTACCGCCTGCCGTTGGTCTCACTGTCCCCCGTCCGTTTTCAGCTGGTGTCGGCGCAGTTCGTGCCCTCCGAGTACCGTGAGCTGGTGAACCCGATCACGGGCTCGGGTCTGCAGGTGCGCTACCGGTACACGCGCGCGCCGCACCTCTACTCGGCCGCTATGACCTCCGTGGAGCTGAGCTTCACAAACACCACCCAGCAGGAGATGACCGACATACACGTCGGACAGAAGGTGGGTGAACGCGGGCCCTCGGCGGCTGGCGAGCCGCTGTACCTCGGCTTCAGCAGTTGAGTGAAATGCTGAAATATGGTTGGCTCTATCACCCCTGACTGTGATGATGTAACTGTAACTGTGATGCCTTGTAGCTGAGTTACTACTGCTATCCCTTTGAGTTGCACAAATTCACAAATTCAGTAATTGGCTGTGCACCAGCTGAGGTGCTGGTCCTGTATTACTGATTTCAGTCCTGTCATGTCGGTCACTGGCACCTGACCCGAACGTGCCGGTCCCTAGCCACTGATCACGTCCCCTGCCGACTGACGCACCAACCCCAGTCTCTGACGTACCCACCCCTCTCCCCACAGACTCTGACGGCCGGTCTAACTCTGCACGAGTTCGCGCCGGTGTCGCTGCTCGCTCCCGGCGGCACCGTGGGCTCCACGCTGGGGGTCGACTTCCGCGACTCGACGCACGCGGCGCGCTTCGACATTGTGACGGGCGGCAGCCGCACGGTACCCGTCAGCCTGGCGGCGCCCATGGGGGAGATCCTGCGGCCCGTTACCATGAGTGACGACCTGTTCCAGCGGCGCAGAGGTTAGTTAGAGCATGTTTCAATCAGATTTCAGTGGGGAACCGTTACACCGAAGCAGAAATCACTGCGGGGCAGGGACACAGGCGGATGGGAACCTGCCGGTATGGGTCTGCAGTGGGGACCAGCACCGCCGAACTAGCGCCACCTGCATCCCTCCAGTCCTCACCAGCTGCAGCGACACTGACGGTGGCGCCGGTCGAGTGAGAGGGACAGGTGGCGCTGTTGTGAATAGAGCGGAGCTCGTATGCAGCTCCAGGCAATTCCTGCAGTGTCTAGCGTTCAACCATGACTGCATGTATGACCCCCTTTTCGCCCTTCCAGCCCAGCTGCGCGGTATGAACGAGGCCGGCGGCTCTGTGACGCCCGCCTGCTGTCCGACCCCGAGCGACGTCCGGAAACTGGTGCTGGCTGCTGTCAACGTGGCGGCCCTCTCCTCAGACACCGGGGACAACGAGAGACAGCTCAGGTGAGAGTCGGGAATCGGGATATAGGAGGGAGGGGCGGGTACAGACACGGGGGACGGATTCAGGCTTTGGTAAGAGGCGGTGTTCGTTCTAAGCCAACGAGTGGTGTGTGGATATCCATTATCCGATGCCCGCCTGTTACCCCGTGTTCGCTCCTCGCTGACGCGCGCTGCTGTCGCTGCTCACAGGTTCGCCGGCCAGACAATGTCGTCCGGCACGCTGGTGCTCATCACGGTGGGCCTGCCGGCCGCCGACGCCGGAGACGGGGCCGCCGTCACCGTCACCGTCAACTGCGAGAAGATGGTGGTGGGCAACATGCTGCTCAAGGAGCTGAAGACCCAGCTGCTGAGATAGACCGACCGTACGGCGGGCACGGAGCACGGTCCGGTCAGTCAGAGGCGAACGGCCTGTCAGCTGGTCAGTCTCTTAGTAAATCAGTCCACCAGTCTGTCAATCAGTCTGTCCGGTAGTCTATCCGTCAGGAACAGCCAGGCCGAGACAAGAGGCCCGTACAGTGGACTCGGGCTGCCCTGCTCGTGTGCTGTACCAGGCAGACCCCCGCGGATTGAGGGGCTGTCTGGCTGCCGTGAAGGGCTGACGACTATCGTGAGGGCTGATAGGCTGCCGTCAGTGACTGACGGGCAGATCTGTCCGTCTGTAGTGTCGATGTGCCTCCCTCCCTTTTAACTCCTGAGGCTCAGAAGACTGGTGGCTGGAGTAACTGCTTCGTTTCCACGTGCTCTATACTTGTATCTGAGGAACAATCTCCCTTGTGCTTTTTCTATAATGGGGCTTCAAACTACATTCTATTTTCCTATTGCATTGAGCTGGTGCTTACCAACTATAAATTATCTGTTTACTGTTATTAAGTATTTCGCGTGTCCATGTGGGAACGAGAAGAGGGCCGGGCCCATGTCTGGCAGTGTTGAATGGTGCGTGGTGTCCAGTAGTTAGTAGCCATTCTAGTCACTGGACGCACCAGTCGATTTCAGTCGTGTGCGAGGGAGCTTTAGTAGGCCTCCAGTGGGATAGGGGACGCCTCCCGTTCAACACATTCCTGTGCCAGCCTAGAAGTCCATTATACTAGGACGACTCTGTTATTGGGATATTCGATATCCCAATCATCGGGCATATATCGTTATTTTGGGAAATATATGTGCGCATGCTTTCTTTGTTGTGAGCGTGCTAAATTGCAGGTGTTCAATTGTGGACGGATGAGACAAATGAACGCGCATTGGGAACGCTGTTTATCGGGTCGCCGTCTGGCCAGCACCTCTGGGGGAGATGCTCGATTCTGAGACTAAGACAGGCCCTGATATTGCCGTCAGTGGCTCTCCCGACTCCCCGTGTCTCTCACTGTGTGTGTGGGCCCATCAGGGGCTCTGAGACTAGGGTGGGTCCCGGCCCCCGGCCCCGCCGCCTGTGGCACCCTCGTGTCTCTGTGTGAGTGTGGGCCCACCAGGGGCGGTGCGGCCGGCGCCGTTCGCCGTACCGGCGCGGCGGCGGGCTTCCCTGCGTGCCGGCCGGCCGTTGTGTCTCCGTAATGGCCGCGCCGGAGCGGTGCGCGCCGAGCAGCCCTGTTATTGGCGCGGCCACCACGCCGACCGGCCGGCCCGCTGTCATGACCGGGCGCAGTTGAGCCGTTCCTCGTACTCTGAGAGTGCCCGGACCCGGGGGGAGGGGGGGGGGGGTCTGTCAGAACTGCGGCCCATCGTGTCACCGGGTACGGTACGGCAGGAGACGGCACACTGAGACGAGGCTTATCTTATCCACCAAAACCCCACCGTCACCCGGCTGAAGCGAACCATCGTGCTGAGGGTAGACGGCAGATAGGTAGGGTCATCTGGATGCAAAGAAGCCTTCGCTACTCTTTCAGCGTCCGAATGTGATTAGGTGTTGTCCTATTACTTGCATTGAAAGAAGAGCAGCCTTGATAAACAACGCATTGAGTTGCACAGCGTGAAGAACTGAAATCAGTTTTTTTTTAGTTGGCGAACTTTATGAAAAGTACGCCCTTCCGTAGCGACTAAGCCAATACCGCCGTCCTGGATCCTTCAATTTATATACGAGACTTCGACGGCTGAAGGTGGCGAGTGTAGGATGAACATTCACGAAAGCTTCGGATGAGTTTGTGATGAGTATCGCAGTCATTCAGCGCGGCACTCTCCCCTCCCGTCTTCACCGCCGCTGGGTGGGCCGTTCATCAGATAGAGCACCGTTCGCGCGCACATGGATTGCACTTTATACTCGGCCGTGAAATATCGAATGTCGGCGATGCACGCAATACTACCCGAGCAATGTGGGCTATCGGACCGTTCGTCCAAATTTGTTTAACACGCGCACCAACAGGGGGGGGGGGCGGAAATCCGCCCCCCCCCCCCCTGAGGTTTTTTTGCGAATAGCGGGAACGCGAAATTTGGTATGACTATTCTCTCATCAATTTTACACATGGTGTGCAAGTTTGAACCTCCTAACTTTTAAGGTCACGTCACCAGGTCACTTTGAATGACCTAACCTCAAGTCACTTTTTGGCAACTTTGTCACCGTGCCAGAGCTACCGTAGATGTCGGAGGCCTTTGAAACTCGCAGGATGTTATTAGGTCATTAGTAGCTACAATTCGTATATCTCGGAATTTTGATATCTGTGACCTAAGTTCAGGCCAATTTCTCGACCTCCCCATTATAAGCCAATGGGGGAAAAATCAACTCCCTGTTTTTACCACTAAAACGGGTCAGAATGGCCCCATATACCATACATGACTTCATATACGATCAACCTTCACTACCTTGAGGTCAGTTTTGCTGTTGGGCAGCTGTAAGGTCATGTGACGTCATCAAAGGTCACCAAAGGTTTTTTGCCAATAACTCCGTACAGGAACAAGATACAGCCGCGCGGATGGTCTCATTGTGCTCAGCTCGTCAAGACGCATCGAATGATATACATGATGACCTCGAGGTCACGTGACCTGAGGTCAACCTTTGACCTTGACCTTTCGAGGTCAACATATATGTCATTCGATGCGGATTGACGAGAGGATCACGATGATGCCCTTAGTTTGTTCCTAGCTTGACTAATTCGAAAGCTATTGGAGAAAAACTCTCTACATATCTAGCGCCGCCATTTTGACTTTTTTGACCCCTGTGACGTCATCTTTGACCTGACCTGAAAATGACCTTAGTAAAAATTGTAGACCTTGTCCGTGCGTATCCGATGCCGTTTACCGCTTGTCGCTATCTTGCTTCGTTCTCGAGATCTCAGGGGGGGGGGGCGGTCATCCCCCCCCCCCCTTCCGCCGTCGCGTCGGTACGAAGTTGGCGCAGACCCCCGTCGGTGCGCGGGTTAAGATGTGCTGAATGAGGCATGCCGAAAGGAAAGGTACCGTTGTCTGACTACCATACTATATTAATTTTGGGAGATAGCCACGAAGCTGTTAATATCTCCACTGGTGGATGAGGAAGGTGGTTTTGACGCTGCGGGGGGGCGTACCCTCAAAAAAGGTTTCTCCAAATTCCAAAGACTTGTCGGATTTCGATTCCTTACGCACTGTTGTGAAGTTTTAAACTTGTCCTTATAAAACTGTTAAGTTTTCGTTTTATTACCGAAAAACCGAAATTTTTTATCGATTTCGGACGCTGCGGGAGGGAACTTTTGCTTCAAATGCCCCCCCCCCCCAATCCTACTGGCAGAAATAAGAGAGGGACTGAGACACTTAACCGATTTGTGTATTCCGGAATTATCGAATTCTGCTCGCCGTACTGGCACATTCATTGTCATTTTATGCTAACTGTAGGACAAATTAAATGATAGGTATTTGGTGCGTTTTCATTCATACATTTCGTGGGTCTCGTTACAGTAGGTATACCTAGCCTCACAAAAATGCACGATTGCATTGTGCCTAGTGCCTATCCGTCGTCTGATTCAGCTTATCATTGAATGCTCTTAGCAAATCTTTCACCAGTAATTATTTGTGTTTGTTCTTTCATCCATTGCATTCCATCACACATTGACTGGAGAGCGAATCAGTTCTGTAAATGTAATCATTCAATGGTCATTGAATGGTCGCCTCGGGTCTTCTGGAGCTGTTTGAACAGCGAATCCTAGTTTGAACAGCGTTGGGGTCAGAACGCTCTGACTGTTGGTAGTTTGTGTTGGTTATTCCGAATGCTGCACGTGCTGTCCCCTCGCCTCACCCCCTTCGCCCAGCCCCCGTGGCGGCCATCGCGCTGTCCTCCGCGCAGTGCGGCGCACAGTGGCCGCTGGCGCTCACCGAAAACGGTCCGCTGGAATGCACATTGCATCCGGTCCCCGAAATCGGCGGCACCAACTGCATATTACATACCTACTGCCGTATGAACTATAGACTCACCGTACCGGGAACAACTATATATATCTGAAAGCAGCTGCTCAACTCAAACAACTATTTCATAGATTTTTTTATACTCGTTATTGAAAGGCTACGCTGGTCATTTGAAGGCAATATTATGGTTATTGGGGGTCTGTTCCATATCTTGAACTCGCCTTTTACTTTTGCATTGTAATGACTATCGTAGGGGGGGGGGGGGGGCGGACAGGAGTCATTGCAATGCAAAAGTATCTCGTAATTTTCTCCAAGCCTGGAAATATGAAAGTACACTTTATGCGACCTTTTGCCAGTTTAAATTTATTTTATGACACTCGACTTATTTAACCTAGAAGCACAACTTCATAAATAAGCGAGTTAGAATGGTGAAAATAGCCGAATTCATGGAATCATTACCTACCATCGGCGTGGCCTGAGGGCCGACGTTCATGTGCTCCGGCTGCCTAAAACAAATCATGAAGTCATATCAAGTGTGATGTTTAATTTGCAATATCATTTAAAACCGTAGAGGGGAGCGATAACTCCTGAAGTTGGTTACCAACCTCACTACTGGGTGTAGTTTTGGGCCGCAGCGTCGGGCCGCGTACCGATCCGTCGTCATGGGGAGATCGGGTGCAACTCGACAATTGTAGTCACCAATCACTTCTGAAAACCTATCAACGGTTTAAAAAAAGCATATGTAAGATGGAATAGCACATTGGCGAGGAAAACGGTGTGAATGCTTCAACCGCCGCCAGTGAGGGTGTTTAAATGTCTGACGTTAGTCGACATCGAACAAAGACATACGCTGTGATGGATTGCCGAGAGGCACGCGGCCGGCGTGTTGCCGGTGGAGCGGTAAAACGCTGCCTCAGACGACGAAGCCGGCTGTTCTCTGAAGACTGAACGGGCCAGTGGTCCGGGAAAACTGTGTACTTGTGTAGCGCGCAATGTCATGTACCGCCGGTCAGGTACGCTGTGACCACTGTCAGGTACCGCCAGTCAGGTACAGTATGTACGGTGTGTAGTGTGTACTGTCAGTCCCGCTGTCATGTCAGTCGGCGTGGGAATACGGCCGGCGGCCCCCTCTCAATCAGTGGTCACACACCTTTTACTTTGATGACAAAGTGACATGACGGGACGATTTTCGGGCTCGCGCCGAACTGTCGTTAGACGTGTGCAGTACTGTGTTTAGCACAGGGCTATCTGTCATTGTATCTGGCTTGTGCTGGACTGAAGGAATACCGCCAGTCCGGTTAAGGGACTATCCGTCATTGTATTCGCGTTAGCTGTCTGTAGTGAAGTGAAGTGAGTGTTAGAATATGTGAACTGTTCGATACGCGGGATCACCTGTCATTGTAGTTGGGTGTGCGGAACTCCTCGTATATCTCGAAAATCGAGAGCTGCTGTCCATTCGAACAATGCCCGGACCAAATAGGCCTAGAAACTCCGATGTGCTTCTTTTGATTACCGTCGTGGGCTCACGGTACCTATACCCAATTTTACATTTGAATTAGAACGATGTGGTAGACACGTAAATACTTATCATTTCGAAAACTTTTTATCTTATATCGTGTAAGTCTTTAGCATGTCGGAGTTCCGCAAAACTATTTATTTTGATCAGATAATCACTCTCATGTCACTCAATTTATTACTGATGCTGATCGTCCATGACGAGTTGGATACTGCAACGGAAATAATAACCAGATAAATGCATCCAAAAATATTTGTCTAAAAAAACTTAAACGTAACAGCGGCATTTGTCCTGATTAAGTCTTTTCCATTTCGGACATTTAACCAGATCTGCATCGAAAACAACTTGCTTCC